AGGAGGTCTTTGCGCGCGCGTCGCCTGGCGCGCTCGTCACTTCGTTTTCGTCAGCGTCGGGCGCAGGCGCCGCGGGCGAGCGCTCGAGGACGAGGCCAACGCGCGCGCGCCGCCAGCCGCAACGCCGCCGCCCGCGACCGCCCCCACGACGGTCGCCGCGGCATCCACCACAAGGAACTTCCATAGGAGGCCATCTGCCCAGAACTCGCCGGCAAGGTCGCTACTCGCCGCGGCAGCGCCAGCTTCGGGGCCCACCCCATCCGCCGCGGCCGCCATTGCCGCCAGCTGCTCCATCTTCCTCCCCCGCATCAGCCCCGCCAGGAGGCGGCTTCGCACGGAGCAGGCGTCGCCGAACGTGGCGGGCAGACTCCATCGGCGCAGCGCCCGCTGGCGGGTCGGAGGGCCACACGTCGTCCATGTCCGCGCGGACGGCCACCACGGCGGCGGCGCCGCCGCCGCCCTCGCGCCACCGCCACCTCGAGGTGGCTGCAGGGCCAGGCGCGCACGGGGCAGGCGCTGGGGGGCGCCCTTGCAGGGCCGCCACCGCGGCGCGCAGGAAGCCCTTGGCCGAGCGCAGAAAGCGCACCCCCGACAGAGGTTGGCCTGCGGCCAAGCCCGGCGCCGCGCGGGCGGCGAGGGGGGCGCCGCGCGCCGCCTTCTCCGCGCGCCGATGATCCTGCGTGAACGTCCCCAGCATGACCGAGCCGCGAGCGACAAGCTGGAGGCCGCGCGCCCCGCGGCGCAGGGTTGCGCCCAATGGGAACTGTGTGTGTGTGTGCCTTGGTTTTGGCCGCAACGCTTGACTTGCTTCGCCTCGTCGCCGCGCCCGAGGGCGCGACCGCCAACGCCTTGGTGTGGTATGAGTGGATATATGTATACACGTCGATATGTCTGTATACATACATATATATATGTGTGCATGTGAATGGAAGTGTGCGTCTGTGTGTAGGTGTGCGTGTGTGTGTGTGGTGTGTGTGGTGTGTGTGTGTGCGTGTGTGTGCGTGCGTGTGTGCGTGCGTGTATGCGTGCGTGCGTGTGTGCATCCGTGCGTGTGTGTGTTGCGTGCGTGCGTGTGTGTGTGTGTGTGCGTGCGTGCGTGCGTGTGTGTGTGTGCGTGTGTGCGTGTGCGTGTGTGTGTGTGTGTCTGTGTGTGTAGGTGTGTGAACGTGCGTGCGTGTGCAGAGGTGTGTGTGTGTGTGTGTTGCGTGCGCGCGTGTGTGCTTGCGTGCATGCGTGTGTGTCTACGTGTGTGTGTAAGTGTGTGTGGAAGTGTGTGTACGTGGTTTTTGTGTACGTGTGTGTACGTGTGTGTGTACGTGTGTGTGTGTGTGCGTGTGTGCGTGTGTAAGTGTGTGGGTGTGTGGGTGTGTAAGTGTGTCAGTGTGCAAGTGTGTCCGTCTGTAAGTGTGTAAGTGTGTAACTGTTCAAGCGTGTGGGTCTGTGAGTGTGTGTGTGTGTGTGTCGGCGCGTACGCGTGTAAGTGTGTACGCGTGTAAGTGTGTAAGTGTGTAGGTCTGTGAGTGTGTAAGTGTGTAAGTGTGTCAGCCTGTAAATGTGTAGCTGTGTAACTGTGTAACTGTGTACGTGTGTGTGTGTGTGTGGGCGTGGGTGTGGGTGTGGGTGTGGGTGTGCGTGTGCGTGTGTGTTGCGTTCGTGCGTGTGTGCGTTCGTGGGTGCGTGTGTGTGAACGTGTGTGTACGTTTGTGTGTACGCGTGTGTGTACGTGTGTGTACGTGTGTGTACGTGTGTGTGTGTGCGTGTGTGTGTGTGTGTGCGTGTGTGCGTGTGTAAAATGAGTAAGTGTGTGATTGTGTAAGCGCGCAAGTGTGAGCGTAAAAATGCTAAGCTGTGTAAGTGTGTAAGTATGTGAAGTGTCAAAGTAAGTTTGTAAGTGTGTAAGTGTTAAGATGTGTAAATGTATGACGGTATAGGGGTATAAACGTGTGAGTGTGTACATGTGTAAGTGTGTAAGTGTGTAAGTGTGTAGGTGTATAAGTGTTTAAGTGTGTAAGCGTGTAAGTGTGGAAGTGTGTAAGTGTGTAAGTGTGTAAGTGTGTATGTGTGTGTGTGTGGGTGTGGGTGTGGGTGTGTGTGTGTGGGTGCGTGTGCGTGTGAATGTGTGTGTGTGCGTGTGTGTCTGTGTGTAAGTGTGCGTAAGTGTGTGTGTGTGTGTAAGTGTGTGTGTGTGTAAGTGTAAATGTGCGTTCGTGTGTGAGTTTGTGTGTGTGGGTGTGAGCGCGTGCGCATGTAAGTGTGTGCCTGTGTGCGTGTGTGCGTGTGTGTGTGTGTGTTTCGTACCTTTTCCTGTGCAAACTCGTCGGCACCGCCTGTACTCCGCACCCTCTGGCCGCCTGAGGCCCCGCCCGCCCGCGCCCTCTCCCCAATTAGTGCTTCGCGCGCCCCGCCTAGCTCTTAACCGGAAGAGGCCCGCTCTCGACCCGCCGACCGAAAAGTGTGTGTGTGTGTGCGTGTGTGTGTGTGTGTGTGTGTGTGTGTGTGTGTGTGTGTGTGCGTGCGTGCGTGCGTGCGTGCGTGCGTGCGCGCGTGCGTGCGTGCGTGCGTGCGTGCGTAGGTGTGTGTGTGTGTGTGTGTGTGTGTCGTGTTCGTGTGCGCGTGTGCTTGCGTAGGCGCTGCGTCTTGTGAAAACCCGCGGGAGCCGACGCTTACCTAGATGAGGACGAGAACGAAGACGAGGACGAGGACGACGACGTCAACGACGACGGACGACGACAGCGCGCGTCGTTGCGGATGCCCACCCGTGGGGTGGGCGTGCGTGCTGCGAAGGCCCGCCGAAGCCGACGACGACGACGATGACGACCAACAGCGACGACGACGGCGACGACGATGACCACGGCGACGGCGACGGTGACTGCTACGACGACGGTGACGGCGACGGCGACAGCGACGACGACGGCGACGACGAAGGAGGCGACAACGACGGCGGCGGCGACGGCGACGGCCACGGCGACGGCGACGGCCACGGCGACGGCGACGGCGACGACGACGACGACGACGACGACGACGACGACGACGGCGGCGACGACGACTACGCGCGTTGCTTTGGATGCCCTGTGGGGGGAAAGGGGAATGCTGCGAGGGTCCACCGTAGTCATCGTCGACGACGACGATGGCCGACGACGACGACGACAACGACGACAACAACGACTACGCGCGCCACTGCGGATGCCACATGAGGGCACGAGGTGCTGCGCAGGCCCGCCGTAGTCGACGACGAGGACGATGCTGACGACGATGACGACAACAACGACGACGACGATGACGACGACGGACGACGGACGTCGACGACGATGCTGACGACGACAACGGCGACGACAGGATGTTGCATTTGGGCATTCCAGTAGATACTGCGCTGGTCGCACGCACGATTCCTTACGCGTCCCTAGCCAGACGATGGGCGGGGCGAGAAAGTTATCATGCCCTGGCGCCATGCATTCCGCTGGCCTGGCAAGCGCGGTCGTTTGTTCATCGACCGCGGCAGGCCCTTCCCCAACTTGTTTGCCTTGCCTTGCAAGGGAGGCAGGGTCCGAAAACTGTTCCAAATGGCCGCCGGATTCCCCTGCGATTTCCTCCGTTCGGGGCGGACGTGTGTCGAAAACGACATCAGCGCATTCCCCCGCAGGGCGCGCCGCCCAAGCAGTGGGGGCGTCTGACGCACGTGTAAAACGGATTTCCCCGAGAAGTGGCCGAGAGGGGGGTTGGGGGACGGGTATCAGGAACACCCCCTTATGCCTCATTTGTTCGTTAACCTCCTTAGGATCGTCGAAGCACTGGCAGCAACACCCCATACAGGTATCGATTTGAAGTCAAGAAAACTAATACTACATGGTATGGGAATCTATCAAGCACACACAATCCCCCGAACAATCCAGACAACCCCTCCGAGATGGAGACCACAAGTGCCACAGCATGTAGGTGTGGCCGGCGCTTGAGCGCGAGCACCGTGTGGCTGGCGCACTGGAGGAAGCACCTTTTTCAATCAGTGATGTGGCTGGCACTCAGGCGAAAGCAACATCCAGTGCTCGGGCGAAAGCTCACTTCCCAATCGAGAATGTAGTTAGCGCCCAGGCGGCAGCACCACTCCCGTTCAGAGTTGCGAGGATGCCTCTGACGAAACTGGCTGGACCACCTCAGGTCAGCCCATAGTTGCGAGGATGTCTCCAGCGAAACTGGCCGGACGCTGAGGAATGAGGAGACGGCTGAAGGCTGAAGTATGAGGAGGCCCAAGAGAGGGCTTGGGTCGGATTGCGCCTGGACAGCGCCCGGACAGCACCCAGACAACCCAGTTGACACACCCCCGGACAATCCCCTCGAGAATCCGACGTGCGGGGGAAACGCCCTGTCCTTGTAGTGGGGGTTGCCGGTGGCTCTCTTCTCTCGGACCACCTGAGGTAAGGGCATCTCTGAAACCGAAATTGCGAGGACGGACCATCTCGTGGGCGGCATCTCCGAGCCCAGACTTGCGAGGGTATCGCAAGCGAAACCGGCAGGAACACCTCAGATCTGGGCATGCGTGAGCCCAGCGTTACGAGGACGTCTCAAGCGAAAGTGGCAAGACAACCTCCACATTTTGAGCATGTCTTTGTGCGCTGGTCCCGCGGCTGGAACTAGCCCCTACAACTACAAGACTCCAGCCAGCCACGCTGCGTGGGGAACAACGACCAATGAGAGTGTGCGAGCTGGAACGGGAAGACGCGAGAGAGGGGAAACGAACAAGAGGGAAAGAAGGAAAGAAAAGCGCCCTTTCCAGCTGGGTTTGACTCGCTGCGCCATGTTTCTGATGATATGGATGATTAAAGCATGTGCGTGCGCTGGCAAACCGGCACGGCCCGGACGACCCCTTGGACAACCCCGTGAGGAGCCGGACAACACCCACCGGACAACCTCCTCCCGGAAAACTCTCCGCTGATTTTTCCATACAACATACAAATGCAGCTGTGAAGATGACGGTGATGATGCTGGTGATGATGACGAGGGGGATCCTGCATAGAGCGCACCTGATCGACGCAACGTTGTACTGATGGCAGCTGCTCTTCGTACATTGCGGTCGATAGCTTCGCCTGCCCGTCTGCCGGAGGAGAGACTCCTAATATTCCTACCTCCGTCCAGCTCCATTCCTTCCCCCTCATCCCTCCTTCATCTCCCCCTCCTCCCTCCTTCCTCTCCCGCCACCGCCAGACATCCTCTCGCGGGCGTAAGCGAGGAGAGGGCCAATGAGCAGGTCGGCCTGGGTGCGGCCACCCTTCAGGAGGCGGACCCGCGCCCGCGCAGGCGCAAGGCGAGGATGGGCTGGCCTCCCCACTGCCATGTGCAGGCGCGCTCCACTTCTATTCTAGCTGGAGCGGCCTGCTCGCGGTGGCGCAGGGCGTTCGGGACCCTTTTCTTCTGCCTGCCTTGCGGTGGGAAATGGTCGGGGGGCGCGCCTGGCAAGCTGCTGAGCGGGGAGTGCGAGGGGCGGCGCTACAGCGCGGGCAAGAAACAATTTCGCCTCATCTCCCGGGGCAGGTCGCCGCACTACCGCCCCTCGCGGAAGCACCTCGCGGAAGCATCCCGGAAGCACCTTCAGGCTGGGGCCTCCGCAGAAACTGGACGAGGTAGTGGCCAACAGGCCACAGGAAGCAGCCACGGAAAGACGCAGCGCGGGGCCCGCTCTGCGACGGCGCTGCGCCCCCCCAGGGCCTGCTTTGCGCGGGCAGAGCGGTGGTGCTGGCGTGCTTCGGGCTGGACGATGACGACACTGACTTGGTGCGCGGGAGGGGCCGCCAACCAGCCGCGGCTGCGGGCGGCGACTCGGCCGGGGAGTCGGAGCCCAGCTGCAGCGACAGCGACGGCGACGGCTGAGGCCTGGATGGGGCCCAGCCTGCGGCCCGTCCTGGGGCCACAGGCCATGCCATGGCGTGCCCTCCATTCTCTTCTCCTCCCCCTCCTCCCCCTCCTTCCTCCTCCCTCTTCCTTCCACCTCTTCCTTCCAACGCCTCCCCTCTCCCTCTCCCTGGTCATCCCTCCTCCTTGTGAGTAACTTCTCTGTCGTGCCACCAGACGTGTCGTTCGGTCGGGCTGGGCGTTTCGTGAGAGACTCCCTTACCGATGACGATCTTGAAGCCACGAGTTGGGGGCTGTGTGGCTTTCAGCAGTGCTCTCGTCATGGCGCCGCGCGCACTCGTCTTCATCACTTGTACCAATTACGCGGATGGTGGGCGGGTGGGTTTCAAAAGAGAAACAATCCCGCCTTGCTTCAACACTTGCGGATGGGAGGCGGGCCAAAAATGAGGCTCTCTCCTTGGCGCCGGGCACGCTCGCCTTCAACAAATCCAGCAGACACACAGGTGCGGGGCGGGCGAAATTCAAAATTAGACTTTCGCCTGGGCGCCACGCAGACTCGTCTTAGAAAGTCTGAGCAGCTAAACGAATGGAGGGCAGATCCTCTTCAGAGTGGGCCTCTCGCCTGAGGACTCGAGAGGCTTGCTGACAAGAAGTGCACAGCTTCTGTAGCAGCTGCACAGATGGAGGGCCTTCCCTTCTCTCAGCAGGGCTGTCACTGGGCACTTCCTTGAAATCTAAGGACCCACCTTGTCGCATTCGTTTTATAGCTCGAAGGGCGGAGGGCGCTTTCCCTCAGAACGGATCTCCCGCCCGAGTTGCGGACACATGGGGCACTCGTCTGTCAAGGGGGGGGGAGCCGCCGCGAAAAGAAAACTTACACGGACTGACGAGGAGGGGACCTCGGGGTCTCCGCTCCTCCTCCCCCTCCTCCTCCTCGCCCCACTCCATCCATCTCATTCCCCCTGCTCCACCTCATCCTCCTCCTCGTCTTCGACTTCCAGGAAGACGAGGAACAACTGGCGGAGCAGGAAGGGCGGTGGTCTGGAACCTCATGGGACCTCATATGATGCCTTCATGCCGTTGGAGCCCCCTATCAATCACATGACCTCTTCCCCTTTCTCCACCTCCTCCTTCTCCTCCTCCTCCTCCAGCCTCTCCTCGTCGTCGTCTTCAGCTGTTTTGGGTGGGTCTCGAGCCGGCGCGCGCGAGGGCAGCCCCAGCGCGTGGGCGCGCACATCGAAGCGGCACACGCTCACGAGCCACATGGCAGCATGCCCCGCAGGCGGGCGACCTCAGCATGGAGATGCGACGGCAAAGGAGTGCGGAAGCCACATGCAGGCCCGAATCCTCGAACAAGCTATCACGGAGGCCGCCTGCAGAGCATGAAGGCGGGTTTCCACCAACTGCTGGCCTCCGTGCTGGAGGAGGCACGCACGGCACTGGCGGAGGAGATGCGGCAGCGGCAAGCGGGCGAGCCCGTGCGAGCAGCCCCGCGAGTGGCGTGACCCGGACCCGGACTCGCCACCAGAGGCCGCGGCGCCCGTGCGGAGACAGCACCAAGTAGGTGGCCGGTCTGGGGGGCGAGATGAAGGAGGCGAAAACGGCGCGTGACCGCAGCAGGAGCCCAAGAAGAGCCGCGCGGAGCCCGACGACGCCGTGTTGGGATGGCAGCATCAGCGAGCCCAGCTACTCGGCAGTGGAATCGGAGGGGGCGCCGCCAGGGGGCACGGGCTAGGCGCCCTGGGCACCAAGGTGGGCTGCCGAGGCCCAGCAAAGCCAAGCGGGACCGCCTGAAGCACAAGGCGGGCCGTGGCGGAGCAGGCCAGGGGCAGAAGATGCAGCAGGGTCAAAAGAGCTGGTGGGAGGAGTGGCGGGGGACTACGAGTTCGCGTTCGACGAGGCCCACAAGCCGCTTCACCTGGAGCGTGATTTGGGCGTGGCGGAGGTGTGGGACTTGGCAGCCGAGAGTAAGCCCGTCGAGCCTCTGCTTAGACGGGTGCGACACTACCGACGTCATCGAGAAGTAGTGTCGCCCGCGATCGTGCCCTTCGAGCCTTTCGGATGTCGTGAAGCTCGAATGCAGGCCTGATCTCGGAGATATGAGGGCCAGCATGGAGGAGCCCTTCCTGACGAATACCCTGGATCTTCATGATGAAGGGGCTGCCGAGGAGGTTCCGCCCGCGAGCCCAAGATGGAGGCTTGCCAGGGCTTCGAGGCCGTGCTCGGCGGCTGCGGGGATCTTGCGCTCGGCGGCTCCGAGGTCTGCGAGCGGAACGTCGCCGCGGGCCCCGCCGAGGACGAGATGAGCGATGTCCTCCTCGCGGCGCGGAGCCGCCGCGGCCACCGTCGCCGAAAGTGGCTGCCTCTCGACGAGCCGGGGCCCCTCGCGGACGCCGCCGCCGCGGGCCCCGAACGGGGCCTGGGCCGACGCGACCTCAGGGCAGTGGAGATCACTATGACATCACGGAGATCCTTGTCCAGGAGTTCGGGCCCGGACTACGTCATCTGCCTGCCGCTCAGCACAGCTGGAGGAAGTGAATGCGGTGCTCCTGCAGGGCGGCGCGCAAGAAGCCGATCACGACATCGACTTCCAAGGCATGCTCCGCGAGATGTGCCAGACCGTGAACGAACGAACGGCGTGCACGAGGGGAGAGGGCCTGCGCTGCCGGCCATGGCCGCCTCCACTGCTGTCGATTGTTCTGTCGCTGGGAGCTGCAGCGTCGCCACAGTTGGATTATTCTTGGAAAGTTGGGGCTCTACCTAAGGGCACGGATGGGCCGATGGGTAGAGCCGTGGTGCCTTGGCTGGCCCGCCGCCCCGCGGCCGGGCCCGCTGGGCCCAACTTGTCGAACCTGTCGGCCCCGCGGAGCGGGGGCCCGCCCTGTGCGCAGGAGCCGGGCATCTGACCTGGCTTCCATGCCTTCAGCCTTCAGCCTTCAGCCGTCGTGGTCCCCGTCCTCCTTTTCCATCCGCATCTTCCTCCTCATCCTCCTCCCCCTTTCCTGCGCCCCGACTCCTCCTCCTCCAACGACGACGGCCTCCCTGGCCCCTCCCCCTGCTCCTCCGAGGGGGCGATCAGGAGGAGGAAGGAGGGACCAATGTAAACTCAAGACTCAACAACGATGTTGGAATAGAACCCTCCCTCCAAGCTCCCTCGTCCTGGGCCCTCACTAAGATTCATTTCCACTGGGAGGACTGCCCCATTGGGAGACAACCGTTTGAAGACCTGGAAGCGTGCCAAAATACTACTCGCAAGATTCCAACGCAACTAATCAACCTGATTGTTGCGTCTGACGATCCTGATTCATATCAGAAGACAATTCCCGGGACTTCAACACCGCGAATCAGTGTAACTGTTGCGCCCTGAATATCCTGAATCGTTTCACCACATATGTTGTGGTATGTGAAACATGGGACTTAGTGGAATTCCTGCCATTCTTCAAGACGACTGTGCGCTGAGCTAAGGACAAACTCACATTTCGCAAAAGATCCGCGTTCAATCCGTGAAGCTCCTGCAAAGCTTCATGATTAGTTGTCGCCGCGTCCAGGCGAGAATAACAGTTAACACACAAGCCGCCCTCAATCGGTGAAGAGTGTGCGCGGCGCTAGGGCGGGAACGACATTTGAATTAACTACCCGCCCCCTCAATCCGTGAACATCTTGCACACTTTCGCAAGACATATCCGTGGCGCTACGGCGAGAGCCAGCTTTTGAAAACTACCAGCCTTCAATGCAACTCTTTGAGATGAGTGGGCGCGGAGCTACGGCGAGAACCACATTTTGAAAACCACCCGCCCTCCATCCGAGAAGTTGTTAGCAATTTTCAAGCTTCAGGATAAAAAGTGGCAAAGAAATCTCAGGCGAAACGCCCGGCCCGCGTTATTAATCGGCCTCGGGGTTCGACAAGGCATAATTGTTTAACGGGACCAAGGAAAAGGAATTAAAGCGGGGGGGGCAGGAAGGATCAGGTGGAGAAGGAGATCCAGTGTAAACCCGAGGAGCACCAACGATGTTCGAATCTATTATCCCTCCAAGCTCCCTCTTCAGATGCCCCTGCAAGGATTTATTTCTGCTGAGGGAAGTACCCCGTTGGGAGACGACCATTAAACATCCTGAAGCATGCCGAAGAATGATTCACATAACGTCAACACCGCGAATCAACGTAACTGTTGCGTCCTGACAAGGAGCCGTTCCAACACACCATCTCTGATACGCGAACCATGAGAACCACTGACACTGCTGCAATTATCTAAAATGAATGTGCGCGGCGCTAGAGCGAAAACCACATATTGAAATCCACATGCGCTCAGTCCGTGAAGCTCTTGCAATGTTGCCAACATGAATGCGCGCGGCGCTATGGCGAGAACCACAATTCGAAGACGAGCCGCGCTGAACCCGTGAAACCCTTGCACCTTTTTAGAATGAGTGCGCCCGGTGCTTACGCGAGAGCCACATGTTGAAAGCCACCTGTCCTCAACCAGTGAAACTCTTACATGTGAAAACGAATGTGGGCGACGCTAAGGCGAGAGCCACATGTTGGAAACCACCGGTCCTCAATCCGTGAAGCCCTTGTAAGCGTTTGAACCGAATGTGCGCGGCGCTCAAGCGAGAGCCACAATTCGAAAACCAGCCGCCCTCCATCTGTGAAACGGTTGCCAACGTCCAAGCCTCAGGCTCAGAAGTGGTAGAGAAGTCTTCTGCGAAACGCCCAGGCCGCCCTTCCGACTGGCCTCGGGGTGCGGCAGGGAAGACGTGTTCACAAGGAAAAGGGATGGGAGGAATAGGGAGGAGAAGGAGAAGGAGAAGGAGGAGCAGGAGAAGAAGGAAGAGGAGGGGGAGGAGAAGAGGACGGACGAGGGAGGAGGGAAGAGGAAGGTGGGAGGAGGGAGGAGACGGGAGAAGACAAGGGAAGGAAAAGGGAAGAGAGAGAGGACTCAAGAGAGAGAGAGAGAGAGAGTAGGGAGGAGGGGGAGGTGGAGAACGGAAGAGGAAGGAGTAGGAGGGAAGAGGGGGAAGCCATGGAGGAGGGATGAGGAGAGAGGGGAGGAGGGAGGAGAAGGAGTTGGAGGAGAAGGAGTTGGGAGGAGGAGGAGAAGACGAGGGAGAAAGGGGAGGTGGAGGTGGAGGAAGGTCGACGGCTTCGCCTGCGCGTCTGCGAGGGCCGCCATCTCCTCGGCATGCCTGCTCAGCTGCCCAGCGTGCCTCGGAGGATATGCTGAAGCGTTCGGGATGCGTTCGGGGTCTCCTGCAGCGCTGCTTCGGAATGGTGTTCGCAATGTGTGTGTGTGTGTGTGTGTGTGTCTGTGTGTGTGTGTGTGTGTTGCTCTTGGGCGTTGCCTAATGGTGCGGCCATGAATGCCGGGGGGGGGGCGGGAACGTGCCCCATCCGTGCTCCTTTTGGGCCCCAAGGGGCCCCTGTAGGGCCCCCAAAGGTAAACCTCTCTCCACCCTCCCGCCATCGGAACGCTCCGTGGTCTCTTGCGGCGCTGTTTCGGGGTGTGGTCCGCACTTGATTTGAATGTATAGAAGGGCTGTTGATTTTAACGCAAAAACTTGAACGACACCCCTTTCGGCGCCAGCAGCGCCTGGGTGCTCGACAAGGGCCAGAGAAACTTCCACGAAACGAACTGAGGAACAGCGCCTTCCGAACTCAAAGCGGTCCTTATTTCAACGTCTTGACTGTATGATATTCGGAGTGTCCTGAAGCGTCCAGTGCGTTTGGACGGCTCCGAGATGTGAGATGTCAACGAGTCGGTTCATGCACATTCAGAAATGAGTGTGTATGTCCTCATGTGCTTTGACGCTTCCTGATGGCTTCGCAGGCAGTCGGCATCTTTGTGAGAGTCTCAGAGCTTGTCCAAATATCGACGAAGCATGTGGGAAGGTTTCGGCGGATGGGAGGAGCCAGAGCAGGGAACATACATAACAATGACGCCACACCATGGTCGCGAAGAGAATATCGTAGTGAAAAGGTGCCACATTTTTCTAGGCATCATCCTCGAGACATCTCGAAACTCCAACTCCTGGATGTATGGCATACCCCATCGTCAGAGCAGGCCCGGATCGTGGTGCCAATGTCCCTTTCCTCCCATTGTAAACAAGGGCCACGCATCTCGGACAACAAAAAGGTATCACTACTGCTACTTCCTGGACCTCTCCCAAGCTGCGTCCTGGCAAGACTACGCGACGACCACAACCGCGGCGATGAGGGGCCCCCGGGAAGCCGCAAAATGCGAAAACGAGTGAAGGGTAACGGCATCGGTATGTACTCCCCTCGGAGTGCCTCTTCTCCACGACGTCGCTAAACTCGTCGCGGAAGACGAAGGTCCTCGAGTCTATCGCGCTCTGGACCTCGCATTGGCGTCTGTGGGCCGCCCTAAGGGCTGGGGAAGGGAGGGGTCATAAATACGTAGTCGAATGCATCGAACCTTGATCGCCGTCGTCGTGGTCGCTGCGGCGGCCGCCGACGTTGCCATCGTGGTGGCAGTTGCGCGCCTGGCAGCACTCAGCGAGGGCGAGGGAGGCACTATGACATTCGCAAGACGCCGCCAAGCTTTACATCCAAATGCGCGCAGCAAAGCGGCGACAATTGAACGCCTGGGAACACCCCGGGTGTTATTCGGAGCACGGGTTCCGTCGGTCTTCTGAGCTCCCTGCTT